TGTCAGGATGATGCTGGTCTCATAAAATGAGTTAGGGAGGATTCCCTCTTTTTGTATTGTTTGGAATAATTTCAGAAGGAATGGTACCAGCTCATCTTTGTACCACTGGTAGAACTCAGCTGTGAATTCATGTGTCCCTAGACTTTTTTTGGGTGGTAGGCTGTTAATTGCTGCCCAAATTTCAGAACTTGTTATTGGTCTATTCAGGGATTAGACTTCTTGTTTCAGTCTTGGGAGGGTGCATGTGTCCAGGAATTTGTCAATTTCTTCTAGATTTTCTAGTTTATTTGTGTAGAGGTGTTTATAGCATTCTCTGATGGTAGTTTTTATTTCTGTTGAATCAGTGGTGATATCCCCTTTATCATTTTTTATTGCATCTATTTGATTCTTCTGTCTTATTTATTAGTCTGGCTAGTGGTGTAGCTCTCTTGTTGACCTTTTCAAAAAACCAGCTCCTGGATTCATTGATTTTTTGAAGGTTTTTTTGTGTCTCTATCTCCTTTAGTTCTGCTCTGATCTTAGTTATTTCTTGTCTTCTGCTAGCTTTTGAATTTGTTTGCTCTTGCTTCTCTAGTTCTTTTAATTGTGATGTTAAGGTGTCGGTTTTAGATTTATCTTACTTTCTCTTCTGGACATGTAGTGCTGTAAATTTCCCTCTACACACTGCTTTAGATGTGTCCCAGAGATTCTGGTACATACTTTCTTTGTTCCTATTGGCTTCAAAGAACATCTTTAATTCTCTCTTAATTTCATTATTTACACAGTAGTCAATCAGGTGCAGTTGTTCAGTTTCCATGTAGTTGTGTGGTTTGGAGTGAGTTTCTTAATCCTGTGTTCTAGTTTGATTGCTCTGTGGTCTGAGAGAATGTTTATGATTTCCATTCTTTTGCATTCACTGAAGACTGTTTTACTTCCAATTATGTGGTCAATTTTAGAACAAGTGTGATGTGGTGCTGAGAAGAATGTATGTTCTGTTGATTTTGGGTGGAGAGCTCTGTTGATGCCTGTTAAGTCCGCTTGGTCCAGAGCTGAGTTCAAGTCCTGAATATCCTTGTTAATTTTCTGTCTTGTTGATCTTATGTTGACAGTGGGGTGTTAAAGTCCCCCACTATTATTGCATGGGAGTCTAAATCTCTTTGTAGGTCTATAAGAACTTGCTTTATGAATCTGGGTCCTCCTGTATTGGGTACGTATATATTTAGGATAGTTAGCTCTTCTCATTGCATTGATCCCTTTACTATTATGTAATACCCTTCTTTGTCTCTTTTGATCTTTCTTGGTTTAAAGTCTGTTTTATCAGAGACTGCGATTGCAAACCCTAATATTTTTTCTTTCCATTTGCTTGGTACATTTTCCTCCATCCCTTTATTTTGAGCTTATGTGTGTCTTTGCACATGATATGAGTCTCCTGATTACAGCACACCAATGGGTCTTGACTCTTTATCCAATTTACCAGTCTGTGTCTTTTAATTGGGGCATTTAGTCTGTTTACATTTAATGTTAATGTTGTTATCTGTTAATTTGATTCTTTCATTATGATGCTGGCTGGTTATTTTGCCTGTTAGTTGATGCAGTTTTTTCATAGTGTTGATGAGCTTTACAGTTTGTTACGTTTTTGCAGTGGCTGGTACCAGTTGTTCTTTCCATGTTTAGTGTTTTCTTCAGGAGCTCTTGTAAGGCAGGCCTGGTGGGGACAAAATTTCTCAGAATTTGCATGTCTGTAAAGGATTTTATTTCTCCTTAGCTTATGAAGCTGAGTTTGGCTGGTTATGAAATTCTGGGTGAAAATTATTTTCTTTAAGGTTGTTGAATGTTGGCCCCCACTCTCTTCTGGCTTGTAGGGTTTCTGCTGAGAGATCGGCTGTTAGTCTGATAGGCTTCACTTTGTGGGTAACCTCACCTTTCTTTCTGACTGCCCTTATTTTTTCCTTCATTTCAACTTTGGTGAATCTGAGGATTATGTGTCTTGGGGCTGCTCCTCTTGAGGAATATCTTTGTGGTGTTCTCTGTATTTCCTTAATTTGAATGTTGTTCTGCCTTGCTAGGTTGGGGAAGTTCTTCTGGATAATATCCTGAATAGTATTTTCCAACTTGGTTCCATTCTCTCTGTCACTTGCAAGTACACAAAGTAAATGTAGATTTGGTGTTTTTGTGCAGCTGCTGGCAAGATGGCTGAATAGAAACAGCTTTGGTTTGAAGCTCCCAGCAAGACTGACACAGAAGGTGGGTGATTTCTGCATGTCCAACTGGGCTGTAAAGGGAGCAGCAGATCCCCAGCACAGTGTTTGAGCTCTAATAAGGGACAGACTGCCTCCTCAAGTGGGTCCCTGATCCCCATGTATTCTGACTAGGAGGTACTTCCCAGTAGAGGCAAACAGACACCTCATATAGGAGAATTCTGGCTGGCATCTGGCAGGGACCCCTCTTGGGATCAAGCCTCCAGAGGAAGAAACAGGCAGAACTTTGCTGTTCTGCAGCCCCTGCTTGTGATACCCAAGCAAACAGGGTCTGGAGTGGACCGCCAGCAAACTCCAGCAAACCTGCAGCAGAGTGGCCTATTAGAAAGAAAACTAACAAACAGAAAGGAATAATATTTCATCAACAAAAAGGACATCTACTCAGGGACCCCATCTGAAGGTCACCAACATCGAAGACAAAAGGTAGATAAATCCATGAAGATGGGGAGAAACCAGAGCAAAAAGGCTGAACATTCTAAAAAGCAGAACACATCTTCTCCTCCAAAGGAACACAACTCCTTACCAGCAAGGGAACAAAACTGGATAGATAATGAGTTTGATAAATTGTCAGAAGTAGGCTTCAGAAGGTGGTAATAACAAACTCCTCTGGGCTAAAGGAGCATGTTCTATCCCAATCCAAGGAAGCTAAGAATCTTGCAGAAAGGTTAGAAGAATTGCTAACTAGAATAATCAGTTTACAGAAGAACATGAATGACCTAATGGAACTGAAAAACACAACATGAGAACTTTGTGAAGCATACACAAGTATCAATAGCTGAATTGATGAAGCCAAATAAAGGATATCAGAGATTGAAGATCAGCTCAATGAAATAAAGCAAGAAGACAAGATTAGTGAAAACCTTTATCACTTATATATGACCCAATGTATGTTTTTTTCCAGGATGTCATTTTCTTTTTAATATATTTATGATTTGTTTTAAAGTTTAGAAACTTAATGCTCTTGAGTTGGTCAGCCCTTTCTCTTATAGTTTCTGTCTTTCATTTCGTGCCTTGAAATTGTTGTCTCAACCTAAAAGCTGATAAAAATGTATCTACATATTTTTATTATTGTGTGTGTGTGTGTGTGTGTGTGTGTGTGTTTAATTCTTACACATTTAACTTTTTAGGTGGTCTAGAATTTATTTTATTCTGTGAAATAAGGAAGAGATCACATTTATTTCTTTTATGTCAAGATTTTAGACAGAAGTGCGGATTGTATAACCCTTCTCTCTGTGATCTGAAATGCCATTTTGTCATATACCAAATTCTCAATCTTCTGGAGTTGGATTTTGGGTTCTGCATTCTCTTTCATGAAGTGATCTTCAAGGACTCTGATCTTTATGGTCATCGTTTTTACATCTTAATGTAGCTGTAGTATCTTTTTAAATTTTGTTGAATGCAAGATTTTTGAAAAAAATCATTTCTTGTTTCCTATAGCAACCTTGACTAGAAAGATTCACTTCTTACACTAAGTTCTCCAGCATTTTCCTTCCTTGTCTTGGAGAGCTGGTGTTTGCTTACCCCTAGAGAAGCCCTGATGCTGAGCTGCCTTTGAGCTTATGGGAGTAGCTACGAAGGTTGAAACCATGGGAGTGGTCGGCATAGGTGCAAGCAGTAAAAGTGTGTGTTGACTGTAGGAAATTGACAAACAGCAGCAGAAAAGCCTGGTACGCATTGATTGGCTTTTCATTATCGTCATGTACCAAGAAGCGTAAACAATTTTAATGATACAATACTGTCTAAAAAAATCTTTTGTTGGTCTAATTCTAAACAATTGCCATGGCTATTGTGTCCTAATAACAGATGTATGGCTTTAAATTCATACATTTTAAAACTTATCACTGGATAAATACTATGTTATCTATGAAAGATAATTCAGAGAAATCCGAATTATACAGTCAGTTTCTAGTACACGAAGATTAATGATATTTGAGCTTGCCTGAGGTGCAGTTTTCCAACTCCAGAGGAACTAGGTATTCCTGGATTCCAATGGTAGATATAAAATGAACAAGAGAGCATAGTGCTTGTAAATTGGAAGAAACAGAATGTGATGAATTTTCTGGCGAAGCTATTTTCGAAGAAGTGTTTTGGCTGCAGAGAGATTTGAGATTTACTAGAATTGATCCTGAGGAAACAAAGACATGGGTGGTGCCGTAAGCTCTGGAATGTATCGCAAATGAGATTTTTATAAATATCTGCGATACTTACCTGCATGTTTAAAAGTTGTGTATCTGTTGCTTCATTTGAAATACCTTTTAGAACTTAAAACAAATATAAGGTTTAATATTGGCCAAGTATGAACAATGACAAATTAACAAGACTGCACTGCCTATGAATGTAAATATGTGAAGAAAAACAGTTTTGAAGATTTTATTTACTAATTTGCAGAGGTTAAGGCCTAAAAACAAAAACTTTGTTTTCATTCATTACTGTGGCAGACTAATATGTAGGCCTATGTTTTATTTCCATTTATATGTAGTACTTCATTACTTAGTTTCCCTTTTAGCATTGCAGTATTTATTTGTTGTTAATTAATACTTTTTTTGAAACAGAGTCTCACTCTTGTTGCCCAGGCTGGAGTGCAGTGGCGCGAACCTGGCTCATTGAAATCTTCGCCTCCTGAGTCCAAGCGATTCTCTTGCCTCAGCCTCCCGAGTAGCTGGGACTACAGGCAACTGCCACCACGCCTGGCTAACTTTTGTATTTTTAGTAGAGACAGGGTTTTGCCATGTTGGCCAGGCTGGTCTTGAACTTCTGACCTCCAGTGAGCCGCCCGCCTCGGCCTCCCAAAGTGCTGGGATTACAGGTGTGAGCCACTGCGCCCAGTCTTCTTCTTTTATTTTCAAGATAGAGTCTTGCTCTGTCGCCAGGCTGGAGTACAGTGGTGCGATCTTGGCTAACTGCAGCCTTGGCCTCCTGGGTTCAAGGGATTCTCCTGCTTCAGCCTCCCTAGTAGCTGGGACTACAGGCACATGCCACCACACCCAGCTAATTTTTGTATTTTTAGTAGAGACAGGGCTTCATCATGTTGGCCAGGATGTCTTGATCTTTTGACTTCGTGATCCGCCCGCCTCAGCCTTCCAAAGTGCTGGGATTACAGGTGTGAGCCACTGCACTGGGCCAATTAATACATTTATTTTTTTACTGGCATAATTATATGACAAAGTTTATTAATAAGGGATTTTCAGTATCTGCGATTCTTTTCTCGATATTATTGTAATTCATTTGTTTCATGATTATTACTGCAAATAATTTTGTTGCATAGAAAAGAGGGTGTTAAAAAGTCCTCTGTTCCAAGTTTTAAATATGCAAGGTGTGCTTCTATCTCTGGGCAGCACTCCTTTCTGGAGGGAACCTTCCATACTGTCAGCATGTCTGGCCATCATCTCAAAAAGAAGCCTCTACTGCTTCTAAATCCTCTGCACCTGACCATGACCTGACCTCCCCCTACTGATTTATAGGATGTGGAGATATTTTGCAGTGTCTCCTCTGCTAACTTCCCAGGGATGTTAGACAACTAACAATGTTTCTTTTAAAGTCAGCTCCATACATATTAAGGTTTCTGGTATACAGATAGCATTCTTTCCAGTTTCCAGTGCTGCTTTATTTTTCTACCACTTTCCTCCCAATTTTACATTTTGTAGATTTTTCCCATTGCGTTCCCTTTCCAGTGTCTTCTCTGGAAGTCACACATTGGCCACTGACAACAGGAGAGAAGACAAAGAGAGGCAACAAGAGACTATTTCCAGTGTAAAATATGATCAGGTAACTCAGCACACTTTTCATGGGCATGTGGGGTAGGCAAAGGTGGGGTGCCCTGCTGAAGGGTACAAAGAAGCTAGCTCATCCTTTGGAATGACACTTAAGCCTCCCACGTTATTTCTATCTTGGATAATAATAATTCTGCATTTGAAATGAATGGTTGGAATGCATTCTCTTTGATAAAATATGCACAGAGTTTTAGAGCTAGAGCTTAACAATCCAAGCCCTTCATTTTATAGATGAAAAAATAAATCCCAGAGGGGTCAAATAACTTGAGTTAATTCCTCAAGATAGTTAGTGGCAGAACTGGAACCAGAGCTCAGATCTACCTGTTCCTAATTAAGCATATTTTCTAATGGAGATATTCCTGTGCTTGCTTTGACGTCACACTTAACCTTTCTCCCCAATTTCTGTTTCCTGGTTATTGTGAAGATTAAATCTAATAATGTATGTTAAGAATGTTCCTGAACCTCTAAAAGCCTTAAAAAATCCTGGCAGCCTTACTGTTATTCTAATAAATGCTCCAAATAACGGAAGTTTCAAAAGGATGTATATTGTGCCGTTTTGTGGAGTTTTGTATGAAATGCATCCTTTTCTGTTTTCCAGTGATATTGACATAATTCTGCTCCAATGAACTACTATTCCTATCTCAAATGACTTCTTTGGTAGGAACAAAAATTAACAGTTAATACAAAAAAAAAAGACACAGGGAGTGTTCAAAACGGAGAATGGCAGAATGTCTTAAAAGTTACCCAGACACAAATGCCAATGCTTAATTTTTATTTTAAAATAAAGTATTCAGCATCTAGAAAATAACCTTAAATGCACAAGCCTTGTTCATGATCGTAACCCCTCCCTTTCTTCCACTTATCTACTAGAAAATTTGCTAGTCTTTCATGTTTCTGCTTTATTCGTTTATTTCTTTCCTTAAGCAAGTATTTATTGGAACACTACTATGTGCCAATACTGTGGTTACAGCAATGAATACAAGAAGATTCTATAGAGAGAATCAGGGGCAATTATAAGTCATGGAAAGAACAAGGGTAGCAAAAGTACTGTAGAGAAGCAAGGAAAATAGAATTTAGTAAAACTTGAAACATTCAGATCTTCCATTATTAAGATATTCTGTTAAGAGTATAATTGAGGGATTTGAGTGAAACCAGAGGTTTAAAAATCATCTTTGAATTTTTAAAACTCAAAGGTTTTAGTCTATCTTGACCAAAGATATTGAAAGATGGCTACCATTCGAATTCATTTAAAATGTCTTCTCTGATTAATTTTTACTTTGTGAATGTGATTCGTTTCTTTAATTTGGAAATAATGAATAAAGAGCTAGATTCTAAATTTCCTTGGATTTGAGGACTGATAAAACATTTCCCATTACTAAAATATTATCTATTAAAACTGAAAAACTTGGGTTGAAATCTTTGGATGCATCAACAATACGATCAATAGCCATGATTAAAGATAAACAGTGACATGACGAGGCAAAGAGTATTGATAGATATGGTTTGGAAATAGGAAAACTATGAATGCATTGCAGATAGGCATATCAAATAGAGAATGTAGAAAGCATTTTTATAACAAGCCATTTAATTAAAATATATGATTCTGACTAATACACTAAATGGTTCTTTATTTTAGGATACTCAGAATATATTCCCAGCTTGTTAAGACATAAGAAAAAGTAAATAATTAGTGCTATGATCCTTAATTGTAAGAATGAGAACCACAGGGGAATTATTGTTCTATATTCTTTTATGAACTAATAAAAAAAGAGCATAATGAGAAAAGATGATGAGATCATCCTTTTCTGTGGGTAATTGCAGTAATACATTCTAAGGACATACCATCTCTACATAGATGAATAAGAAATACCAAAAATGTAATCAAGAATCAAAATTAACAGAGAGGAATTAGAAATGTGTCATAATAAACATGGGAGAGGGAGGGATGGGTGAAGCTAAGGGAAGAAAAACAAAGCCTTCAAAGGCTGTCATATGTTCCTATTGTGTACAATCTATGTGAACAAGGTCAGCAACAAGGATAACATGAACACTGAGAGATACTGGATAATTTTTTATTTCAAAATATAATGAATACATGAATCATTTTTTGCAGATACAGTGATAGAACTATAGACTACTGGAAATGAATAAGACTTTCTCTAAAAGAAAATGAAAATTTTGAAACAAATTGAATAATGTGAATGTATTTTTAAGAATTTAGATCACAGACTTAAATCTTGAGCTTGTCATAAACCAAAGCAAAATAGCAGAAAATAAGTGACATTGCACTTATCATAGGACCTCAAATTCTATTGTTTTGAGATCTGCAGGCAAAAAAAAAAAAAAGAGAGAGAGCTAGAGAGAGAAAATATAGGAGCATCTTAAGGAGGCCTACTTCTTATGACACTTGAACAGCTTTATCATACTTTGTGGCACTGTTGGTGATAGATGTGGGAGACGTTCAGAGAGAAAGTGAGAAAAGTGTTTTTCTATGCTCTTGACAGTCTGATTACCTCTGAATTTCACACTCCCACTTTCAATGTACAAAACACCTTATTTTTTCTCTTTTTGCTAAGTATAGAGTCACTTGTTAGATACAAAACAAAGATCGTCACTCCACCAAATTTTATGGAAATACTTAAAAGTAGAGAAGATATATAAATAAATCAATAATTATAGGTGACAATATATGCCAGTTGCTGTCTATGGCCATGTATCTGTATTAAATCATGTAATCTTCATGAAAGCCTGTGAAGAAGGCTGTCTTCATAGGAAGAGATGGAAACATCAAGAGAGGAAGGAAATTGTCACATACCACAGAGCTGAAAAGAGGGGGGACCAGGATTCAAACTCATGCCATCTGACTTCAGGTCAAGTCACTTAAGTGCCTCTTTCCTGTGGGTAAAGATGAAAGGAAGCATTGAAAATACAATCTTTTCATATGTATTTAGCCATTGGTTTCTGATAGTACAGAATAATGCAGAATCTCTTTTAATTTTGTTGTTTGAAAACGACCTAATCCTGTTTGCAAATTCAGTGACTAGATTTTTTTTCTTCTATCTCTCACACCATTTCTTTATCTTTTTTAAAACTTGAGCATTTCAAATTCAGTTGATACATTTGTCAAAAAGAGTTTGTGAAAAATATCTAATTGGAGGGCAGCCTAAATGTATCAGTGTACTGATATCAGGGTACTCATCTAGGAACTACTGAAGTAATTTGGACCCTCAAGGTTTATTTCTTCATGTAAACAACAGCAAAGTTCAGAGGACAGAGCCTGAAAGCATAAAATCATTAGAGACCCAGGGGCTTTCTCTTTCTGCTCATATTAGTTATCTTGCATCTGCAAGATAATTGTACTATGTAAGGTCATGGCAGGAGTTCCATCTGTATCACTGGGGTAAAAGAAAGGAAAGAAAGAGAGAAGAGTGGGGCATGAAGTTCTTCCGTTTTAAAGAAATATCCCAGATAATCCACAGAGCACTTCCTTTTCCCATTGACCTGAAATTAGTCAGATGGCCACATCTACCAGCAAAGAATACTGGAAAATCTAATCTTTTAACTGGACACAGTGCTATCCTGAATAAAACTGGAATTTTGTCACTAAGATGGTTGGAGGAAATGGATGTGGGTGAAAAGAAAGAATAGCTTTTGCCACTGTGCCATCGAGAAATTCTGGACATCCAGAGTGCCATGAGAGGGAAGACTGGGATGAAAACCCAGCTTGGAAAGCCAGTATAAAATTGCAAGAGTCAATGGGAGGCAATTGTGTGCTGTGGAACTGGATTAGGTTTATGTGTGATTAACTATAATGGATTAACTTTTCAAATTGGTTGGTGTTAACTTCCACCTAAAGGGGCTTCTTATAGGTTAGATTTAATTTTAAAGTAATGATACCCATAGGAATCATTACTTTAAAATTCTTTCAGAAAGGAAAGAGGCCCCAGCTTGATTATTCTAAGCCTAAAATCCTTAAAATCAATCAGATGCAGACCCAGCCTTCCCCTTTCTGTTCCTGTGAGTATGACACACTGGCTTAGGGGTAAGGGGAGAACCTCTCTTCCTTTCTTTTTTATTTTTATTTTTGTCTGAAGCCACCATCTCTGATTACCAAGGTACAGTAGAGATACTCACCAAAGAAATCTTCAGAGGATTGCACTCCATTCTTTTTGTCTCACTTCAAATTATAGAAATGGAACTGCCACCAGATAAGGACATTTTCATAAACACTACTTCTATGTTCCAGTGGATGCTGATGAGAGAACATATGTACACACAACCATATTCACAAACATTTATAACCTCCAGCAACTATAAAGTCTCATCTGTTGTATAAAGAAAGCTTCTATTTCCAGTGCAATTTGCCAGCGGACGCTGATCACTTGACAGTTATATTTAAAGGCAGCAGGCTCCTGACTCGAAATCCTATGCACTAAACACCTGTTCCCTTTCAGAAAATGCAGCTGACATTTTTCTAAAAGATCTAGTTATTTTGTTAGAATAGTTGTTTGCCCCATGGACCTCATAAAGACTAGTCAGTGGGTTGTGTGGGATTTCAACAGGCTCTATGTTGAAAGTAGAGCCCCACAAGGCTCTTGACATGTGAAGGAAACACAGGAAGACCTAAGTTTACCAACAGACAAAATGCCATTAGCTGCCTCATTATCAGCATTCTGCCAGGAGAAACTAGCATCCTCTGATACTATTTTGGCATAGTATTGTGCCATTGCATCTGACTTTCAGATTCTTTTAAAAAACCATTAAGCATCTGGTTATAAAGATTATGCATGTTTACTACAGTTAGTTATAAATGTATAAAAATCACAAATAAAAGAATACATATTGTCAAGATTTGCAAGCTGACACATTAACCTGCTGCAGTTTTATAGACACTGGTAGAAAATAGGAGACTCCTAGAGCGGAGCTAAAAGTTTATGACAGCAATAGAGTATCAGTAGGTTTTGAACCAGTTCCTGAGCCTCAGCTCCCATGGGATGATACAAAGGGAACCTGATGGCACCTATGTACACAGTGTAACTCTGATGTGACAGGAGAGGGATACTGAGCTTAGGAAATCTGAATCTCTTCTTACGGGCAACAGCCTGGCTGAACTTGGTCTTGAAAGGAGACATTCTCTTTATTAAACTGGACCATGAACAAAGCTACCCTTTATTCTAGAGGGAAATACAATTTCCAGTCCTGTTCACAATACAAATATTCTTGGAAAGACAATCTGTAAAGTGAGTGTCAGTGCCTCTAGTTGTAAAATAAGCAGAAATCTAAGAGATCCAGGGGAAATTTTCTCTCAACATACATAAACCAAATCTCCAGGGTGGGGGGGTGGTGGTGACACTGGTATCTTGATGTATATATTTGGATAAACATATGTTTATTTAAAATAAAAACTTAAGTAATACTACCTTTCGTACATATTTTGCATTTTACTCCATATTTATTTATTTATTTTTTGAGATGGAGTCTCACTCTGTCGACCAGAGTGGAGTGCAGTGGCACAATCTTGGCTCAGTGCAACCTCCGCCTCCTGGATTTAAGCTGTTCTTTGGCCTCAGCCTCCTGAGTAGCTGGGACTACAGTCGTGCGCCACCATGCCTGGCTAGTTTTTGCATTATTAGTGGAGACAGGATGTTACTACATTGGCGAGGCTGGTCTCAAACTCCTGACCTAGTGATCTGCCCGCCTCAGCCTCCCAAAGTGCTAGGATTACAGGTGTGAGCCACAGCACCCGGTCTTGCTCCATCATTTTATAGAATATAGTGTTCCAAAATATAGGTTTACTATTTTTAAAAAATTAACTTTTTTTTTAATTGTTGGGCATTGCAACTGCTTCTAACTTGCTACTATTATAAGCAATAGTCACTAAAAAAATTTTTGTACATAAATTTTTATGCATAGACTAGGATAAATTCTGAAAGTGGTGTTTTTGGGAAAAAAGTTAATGGTTATTTTTGAAGTTTTTGATAAGTCTTGCCAAATTATTCTAAGAAAAGATTTTATCAGTTTGCACTTCCATCAACTATTTATAGAGGAATTTCCATGTTTATGGTGATAATTTAATTTGAAAATAAGACTAATATTAAAATAAAGTGATATTTGTGATTTTAATTATTAAATAATAATGATGTTTATAAAGAAACACTATTGAATACTGGTTTTCTTTCCTTTCCTTTAAGTGCTGTGTCATGATTCTCTTTCGATGAGTAGTTAAGAGTACAGGGTAATCTGTGTTCTGCATCTAGCAAGCACTCAGCCAGGAGAGGGCTAGGATGCTGTTCCATACCATCTGTTTATTTATTTTAGCAAGTAAAATAAATGCTAAGCCATATCTTAGACACAAGCAAACCAAAAGGAACAGGTTTCCTACTTTATTGGAGTTTGCAGTGTGGGATTTGCCACGCACAAAAGAAACTCCAAATAAACCTTGATATACTCTTACACACTGGAATCTGAATATGTGCTTGTGTGTGGAATTTACTCAGATAAAATACATTTCTACACACAAGCACACACACATGCATGCAAAACAAAACAGTAAATGTTAGATTGCTTCATTTGTTATTTTAAAAATTTTAAAAATGTAATGTGTATAAGATATATAACATCGTGTTATGAAGTACATATAGATAGTAAAAGGGTTATTATGGTGATTCAAATTAACATGTCCATCATCTCACATGGTTACCCTTGTTTTGTTTTTGTGGCAAGAAGAGCTAGAATCTACCCATTGAGCAGGGATTCTATATAGAGTACCATTTTATTTTATCTATTGTCCTCATGTTGTGTATTAGATCTCTAGGCTTGTTCATCCTATGTATCTGCTACTTTACATCCTCTGACCTACGTGTCTTCATTCACTTCCCTACCTTGCTCCTGGTAAGCACTGTATTACTCTCTATCTCTATGTATTTATTATTATTTTTAGATTTCATGTATAAGTGAAATCATGCAATATTTTCCTTTCTCTGGCTTATTTCATTTGGCACAGTGTCCTCCAGGCTTATTCATATTGTGGCAAATGACAAGATCTCATTCTTTTTTTAGGGTGGAATCATATTCTATTACATATACATACCACAGTTTTTGTATCCATTTGTCCAATGATGGACACAGGATTTTCCCTTATCTTGGCTATTGTTAATGCTGCAATGAACAAGGGAGTGAAGGTGTCTTTATGAGGTAGTGATTTCGTTCCCTTTGTTATAGATGCAGAAGATGGAATTACTGGGTCACATGTTCTGTTTTTATTTTATTTTGTTTTTTTAGAAATTTCCATCTATTTTCTATAACAGTGGCACCAATATATATTCAGACAAA